ATGAAAAAGCGTGCGTATGTCAAAGTGTTGGGGGCGATCTGAATTAAGAAGAATAAGGTCAGTTGTGGAGAGGAAGCGTTCTAGAGATCGGCCACGGGAGTTGGTGATAGAATATAATGATGTAATAATATAATAATGTAAGTGGAGCTGGAGCTGGGCTGTGTTGGGAAGGAGTAGGAGGAGGATGGATATCAGCAGTCACTTTGAGTGTTTAGGGAGCGAGAGTTGTGGAATCTGAGGATGGATGAAGGGTTTCGGTGTCAGTTTGGGACTCGAGTAGATAGTTTTGAATATCTTCCAGAGTTTCTGTAAAGGAGTTGATTGGGGAGTTTAGTGAGACGAAGGTTTTCTTATGAGGGAGGAAGCGGAGACTGGTGTCTGAGGAGTAGAGACAAAGGTAGGTGGAGGTGAGTGTGTGGTAGAAGGGGTGGAACGTTTAGTCTGTCTGCTGTGGGTAGTGTGGGGAGGGAGAAGGGAAGGTCTGGATTTAAAATGGCAAAAGACTTTTACTGGGGAAGGTAGGAGGTAGAAGTGGGGAAGTAAGATGTAGGAGGGATAGGTATAGGGGAGGGTGTGGAAACGTCTTGGGAGGGAGGGGGAGGGGCAGAGCGAGCAACATTACTAGAATAGGGAGTAAGAGAAAAACCTCGTCGACGTGCTTCCTGTCTGTCTTCACGCAGAGGGAGACCAAGTCTGAATCTGAGAGTTGCCACCCCAGACTCTAACTTGCAGATGTGGTAGCCCCTATAAAATACATTATGGGGGCTGCCACAGTTGGCACATGTGCCTGACTGTGAAGAGCAGTTTGATCAGTTATGACCAGGTTGGGCACATAGAGGGCATGGGGGCTGTGGAACGGCAATGTTTGTCAGGATGTCCTAAACGCCAACAGTTTTGGAACTAACAGGGAGGAGGTTGATATGGTCGGACAGGGAGGGATTCTCCACCAATGTAAACATTAAAGGGAAGGTCATGTGTACGGAAAGTAATTTTGACAATGCTAATGGGGTTCTTACGATGACCTCTAGGAGAAATGGAGTATCACTGTACTGATATCACATCACAGTCAGTGAGACAGGCGAGCAAGTCTGACCAATTTTCATTACAGATAGGGCAGTTTGCTGGGGAGAAAGAGACAGTTCCGGTACAAGTATTGGGTTGGGTGATGTTCTGCAGGAAATGGAGTTGCCTGATCTGCTCGGCTAAGGACAGAAACTCTGCCTACTTGTTTTTTTGAGATATCGCTGGAAGAAAAGTGTGTTGTCAAAGTAAGGAGCTGTGGTGGGATCACGAAAAATCGGCACATTTGTCTGGGCTAAATGGGTGGGGTGAGGTGATTGATGAAGAAGGTTGTGGGAGTGGGGGTGAAGTTGAGAATAAATATTGGGAGAGTAAGAATGTCTTATAGAGATTGAGTGTTGATTTGTATGAATAATACATTAGTAGGCATTGAGGAGGGGGTAGTAGTTACCGTGTTCAGAGTCGTGGTCTAAGGAGATCCTGGGGTTGGGGAACCGGGAGAGTTTGAATTGGCGGGGCTTTTTGATGAAGGGACAAACCTCATTGCCCTAACAAGGGTATAATATCTTCATTATTGACCATGGTAAGTATGCTGGAGAGAGAAACAGTCCACCCCTCAGAGTCCTCTTGCGGGGTAAGGGCTAGACAACTAAAACAGGGGAATATAGGATCCCTAAGGCCGTTCAGGACTGGCACAAAGTCAGCCTTTCATCTTGTCAGCACGTCAGGGGAGGGAGAGAAAGAGAAAGAGAAAGAGAAAGAGAAAGAGAAAGAGAGAGAGAGAGAGAGGGGGGGGAAGAGAGAGAGGAGAGAGAGTGTGAGCTGGGGGGTTAGGTGGGGGAAAGGGGGTTTGTGAGAGAGAGAGAGGACGTGATAATGTGTGTGAGTGAGTGAGTGAAGAGTGAGGAGTGTGAGAGGGGTAGTGGTGCAGGAGTGAGAGTGTGAGGGGAATGTAGAGTGTGGTGAAGTGGTTGAGTGTGAAGAGAGGAGTGAGAGTGTGAGGGGTGAGAGTGGAGAGGTAGTTGTGGTGTGAGAGAGTGGAGGAGGTGTGAGAGTGTTGTGTGAGGATGGTGGAGTTGTTGGTGTGGTGTGTAGTGTGTTGGAGGAGTGAGGAGGAGAGTGAGTAGAGTGAGATAGAGTAAAGAGGATGGAAGTGAGAGAGAGGAGAAGAGAGTGTGGAGAGTTGAGAGATGGAAAGGAGAGAGAGAGGAGAGAGGGGAGGGAGTGGATGAGATGAGACTGAATAGAGAGAGAAGAGGGAGAGAGAGAGGAGAGAGATTTGAGGGAGGGGGGAGAGAGATTAGAGTGAGAAAGAGAGAGAGAAAGATGAAGAGAGGGAGAGTGAGGTGGGAATGAGTCGGAGAGGTGTGTGGAGTGAAGGGGGGTGAGATGATGAGGAGGAAGTGGAGAGAGGAGGGGTGAGGATGAAGTGGGAGAGGTATGAGTGATTAGTGAGTGGAGGGGGAGAAGATGAGGAGGTGGAGAGAGGAGATTGTCGGATTTGAGAGTTGGGAGGAGTGAGTAGCGGTGAGTAGAGTGTGAGGGTGTAGGGGATTGAGTGAGATGAGAGAGAAGGAGGAGGAGTGGGGGGGGAGGGAGATGAGGAAAGGATGAGGAGTGTGAGAGAGAAGAGGAAGAGGATTGAGAGAGACGGATAGTAGAGATAGTAGAGGAGACGATGGGAGATATTTGAAGAGATGAAATAGGTGTTAGCGAAATGAGCTGCCCCCCCCCCGGACCCCCCCCCCCCCACCGACCTCCCAGAGAGAATTTGGTGATGAGTAGTGTAAGTGGCATGAAGATTTGGAGATAGGAAGTAGAGTGAGTTGAGCGGAGTGGTGAGTGGAGTGAATTATGAGGAGAGTTTGATGTTGATGGAGTGGTGAGGGGATGTGAGAAATTGGTGGAGTGAGAGGGGTGGGGGAGATGTGTTTGTGTGTGTGTATAGAAAAAAGTTAGAAAATTGAGTAAGAGGAGAGAGTGAGTGAGGGAGAGAGGAGATGAGAGATGGAAAGAGAGAGTGTTAGTGGGTGGAGAGAGAGAGAGTTCGAGTGGTGAGAGGGAGAAAGGAGGGGAGGGAGAGAGAGAGAGAGGAGAGAGACGAGAGAGAGAGAGAGAGAGAGAGAGAGAGAGATTGAGGGAGAGAGATAGAGAGAGAGAGAGAGAGAGAGAGAGAGAGAGAGAGAGAGAGAGAGAGAGAGAGAGGAGAGAGAAGGGGGGATATCTATCTATCTATCTATATATATATATAGAGAGAGAGAGAGAGGAGAGAGAGAGAGGGAGGGAGGGAGAGAGAAAGAGGAGAGAGGGAGGGAGTGAGAGGGAAAGAGGAGAGAGGGAGGGAGGGAGAGGAAAGAGGAGAGAGGGAGGGAGTGAGAGGGAAAGAGGAGAGAGGGAGGGAGGGAGAGAGGGAGAAAGAGGGAGAGGGAGAGAGAGAGAGAGATAAAGGGAGGGAGGGAAAGAGAGAGAAAGATTGAGATAGAGATAGAGAGAGAGAGAGTAGGAAAGAGAGAGAGAGAGAGAGAGAGAGAGAGAGAGAGAGAGAGAGAGAGAGAGTAGGAGAGAGAGAGAGAGAGAGAGAGAGAGAGAGAGAGTAGGAGAGAGAGAGAGAGAGAGAGAGAGAGAGAGAGAGAGAGAGAGTAGGAGAGAGAGAGAGAGAGTAGGAGAGAGAGAGAGAGAGAGAGAGAGAGAGAGAGAGAGAGAGAGAGAGAGAGAGTAGGAAAGAGAGAGAGAGAGAGAGTAGGAAAGAGAGAGAGAGAGAGAGTAGAAAGAGAGAGAGAGAGAGAGTAAGAAAGAGAGAGAGAGAGAGAGAGAGAGAGAGAAATAGTAGGAAAGAGAAAGAGAGAGAGAGAGAGAGAGAGAGAGAAATAGTAGGAAAGAGAAAGAGAAAGAGAGAGAGAGAGAGAGATAAAGGGAGGGAGGGAAAGAGAGAGAAAGATAGAGAGAGAGAGAGAGAGAGAGAGAGAGAGAGAGAGAGAGAGAGAGTAGGAAAGAGAGAGAGAGAGAGAGAGTAGGAGAGAGAGAGAGAGAGAGTAGGAGAGAGAGAGTAGGAGAGAGAGAGAGAGAGAGAGAGAGAGAGAGAGAGAGAGAGAGAGAGTAGGAGAGAGAGAGAGAGAGAGAGAGAGAGAGAGAGAGAGAGAGAGAGAGAGAGTAGGAAAGAGAGAGAGAGAGAGAGTAGGAAAGAGAGAGAGAGAGAGAGTAAGAAAGAGAGAGAGAGAGAGAGAGAGAGAGAGAGAGAGAGAAATAGTAGGAAGAGAAAGAGAGAGAGAGAGAGAGAGAAATAGTAGAAGAGAAAGAGAAAGAGAGAGAGAGAGAGATAAAGGGAGGGAGGGAAAGAGAGAGAGAGATAAAGGGAGGGAGGGAAAGAGAGAGAAAGATAGTAGAGAAGAGAGAAGAGAGAAGAGAGAGAGAGAGAGAATAGTAGGAAAGAGAGAAGAGAGAAGAGAGAGAGAAGAGAGAGAGAGAGAGAGAGAATAGTAGAAAGAGAAGAGAAGAGAGAGAGAGAGAATAGTAGGAAGAGAAGAGAAGAGAGAGAGAGAGAGAGAGAGAGAGAGAGAGAACTTAGTGAAATGACAAATTTAACATTATAGCTTCAAGATCTACTGGTTTCATTTTTTCCATCTGTGGCTTTATTAGCAATACTCATGTTCTGGCAGTTTTGATGTCACTTTGGCCTGTCAGCTATATATTTGAAACAAAACATCAAACTAACACATAGAACATCATATTGAATGTTTATTTGCTGCATAACCCTATAAATAACATTAAATATGAAGCTAATATCCTTTTGAAAATATACATCATTCTTGCTTAATATTTCTCCATTACACAAAGTTACTTAAGAAATAACCAAAGTTTTATCACTTTTGTCATTTAATTTCCCCTCTTTTTTCTTTCCCATATTTAGTTTTCTCCATAACTATAATCAAAGAAAATGATAATGAAGTGTTCAGCAAAGAAATCTGATATTAAAACACAAC